GTCGTTGGGTGGGTTTGGTCGGTAGGCAGAGATGACCACCAAGTCGCGCTGGCCAACGCCTCGTGTTCGGCCATGAAGTCGGATCCAAGCCCATCGCCCCAAGCTATCGTCGCCACTGGACCGGACTTGATGGGAGACTTCGTTGAAGGCAGAAGTCGAACAGCCCCCAAATTGGGTGGTAGAATGGGACGCCCGTGGTTGATGGGTGTTGTAGGCCACCGCCGAGTGGAAACCTTCGCCCTTCCAAGCCATGGTGCTGGCTCAATCACGCCATCGGTTGGTTGGTGTAACTGCTGGCCAAAATTTGTTCAATTCCGCCAGAAGTAAAAAGTCCACACAATAGCTTCAAACCCAGTGGTTCAGTTGTGCCTGTTTAGGGTCGTCCGACTTGTCGGGAATAGTGTTAATATTCTGGAAGGCGAGTAGGGCGGAACCCTTTGCACGAACAAGATGGTTGTCACCAAAACCATCTCCTGGAAGGAAGGAACTTAAAAAAGAATCAAGAGAGGTGTGTGGAGCCGCTCTTGACCGGTTGCTGGTGATAAACGATCTATGCCCGTCACGCCGCAACCGAGCGGCAGGCGATCTTTTGTTTATCATGGACCCGTTGTGGGGTTACTGATACCCCACGGCCGGTGTCCATAGGAGAGGACGCATTGGGTTGGTCCTCCCCATCTTCTCCGTCCGTTTCTTGAGCCGTCGCTGGTGAAGCAATGGTACGAGCCGAGGGACTGAGTAGTGTAGTAGTGCTGACGCGTGTTTGGCCCGGTGGACCTGTAGGGACGTCCACTGTGAGCATCGGAACAGGCCGAGCTGTTGTAGACGACGCTGCCATAGCAGCAGCGGCTTCTTGGGCAGCCTTCATTGCCCCCCAATTCGTCACAAACGGACTATAGGTCACGGTTCAGACTGTTCTTCTCGTCAGTAATGGTCTCGATGGTCTGAAGAGCGGTCTGGAGTTGAGCCTGATTCTCGTTCCAGTTGTCGAGGTAACCAATCATGGAAAAGCCATCGTCCACGTCCCAAACATGTTTGGCGTGGATGCCGATGTGGGTGCCCTCAAGAATCTCCACGGGGTCTTCCATGCAGAGAAGGAAGTCCATGGAGTCGCGGACTTGAGGACCTTGATCGTTGGTAGGGTCCTCAATACAGCGGGAGCGAAGCTCTGAAGGGACCCATTCAACATGAAGCTTTCGATTCTGGTAGGCGAGGTCGGTAGCTGACCAGTTCTTGATAACTTGGATGAAATTAAGGAACGACGACTCGCCAAGGTGGAACTGAAGAAAAGACGGCAGGTTGTCGAGCACATTCATCGCAAGGGGAAGATAGCGCTGACGGGCCACCACAAAGTAACATCCATCTTCCTCTGCGGGTAGGATCATGACAAACAGAGGACTTGGTATGTTGTTAGTGAGGTCCATCTGAGCAAGCCTAATAATAACTGAGACATTAATCGTTAATATGCAACTCTGTGGGCATTGGATTGCCGGTGAAATATTTGGCTGTAAAGGTCAAGTACTGTGAAGCGGTGAGTCAACAACAAGTTTGAACCATGTGAGACATCTGTATTTGGAACAGAAGTTGCTCAAGTCTCCCAAAGGGGTAAAGACTTCTCCCGCGACGTGGCGGGGTGAATTTGGGGCATATAAGGTCCCGCGAAAAGTTGGTCAGGGTCCAGGGGAGAAAATAGTCCGCAGACTGCGGCGTTGTGCTTTCATGGAGCGACGGAAATCTCTGCGTTCCTGACGAAGCAACTTAAGTCACTCTTCCTTGTCTACCAATGACTTGCGAAGGACTCGTCAACGGCATGTTAGCATCGGTTGAATTTCCTTAGGCAAGTCATCGGGACCCATATCAAACTGTGAGTGAATCCCCTCATTGACAGTACTGTGACGTTCACGTAGTTGAACGTTATCATCCGAATGTTGAACGGAGTTCTGTTGCTCCCACATGTAGAAGCCGATTGAGATCAGCTGTTGTGAGAGGCGGGACGCCCAAAGAGAGACAGATCGTCGACATCTGATCTTGTCATAATGTTGTTGTTGTCAGATGGACTTGCTCTACAGACCTGAATGGGGCAATTCTTGAATAAACCTGAGCGTACGGCAACTTTGAATGCTTCAATCCCTGGTGCACCACCCATGTGATACCCGGATCTTGCAGCGTTTGCTCGGTCAACTTGTCGTGGAGTGTAACCCTCTATGTTCTTTTTTACAGTTTGGAGACCAGAGTAACGGGAAGTATGTTGACTAGCTGTGTTATTGTTGCCGCCATGATACGATTCACCCGGCATGAAACCAACATGGGCTCTGCACGACCTGCAGGCTTCACCCGTCGGTCCAATTTCCATGCACACATTGCAATGACTCTCCCCCTCATGGGGTTCATAAGTATACAACCCATCCTTTTCTCTGTAAATCCATTGATTCCCATCTTTGGAAACAATAAATGCATTTTCTACGTCGGTATCCATCACGATACAATACCCTTCTTTGACCAATAAAGACGCACTGTCCACATCACAGATGGCATCAGCGTCATACTTGCACATATTATCCATGTGTTTACTCTCAACTTCATGTGTTAGATTCCTACCTCCGCCGACATTTGTTCCATAATTGAACATATATGGAAGCTCTTTCAGTGTTCCCATCTTCGCATTCATCGAATCTTTGCAAAGATGAAATGTAGAACCAGTGTCAAGGGACAGACCTGTTGCGCCCGAACGAAACCACTTTGGATCATGCATATCAAAATGCTCCGGAATCTTGCCATCCTTATAATCATTTGAATCAAGATATACCAGATCGCCGCTATCCTTGTATTTGAGTCCCCAATGAGCTTGGGAATGCATCACAGCTACTTCCCTGCCAACCTGTACGTTGGAGCTCTGTGTACTTGCAACACTGACGTCCTCTTTGGCTGCTCTGACAGCATCCAATTGTACCTGCCAGTTTGCCAATATGTCGTGTTGTGGTGATGTCCCAAATCTTGAAAGTCTTAAAATAGGCTGTGGTACTCTCTTCCGTCCGCCAAACTGAGCCATATTCCACCCCTGAATGCCAATCTTTTGCTTTCGAGGCTGTGGTCCACCACTCCTGTCAGCCGAACCAGTCTGCATATGGTTCTGCTGAGAAATACCACCATCATTGTTGGCGGGTGTACCTGCGGTGTTAGCTGTAACACTTGATTGCACAGATCCCTCCTTGATGCTTGTCTGCAGGTGTACCTGTTCTTGTCCCGATTCATTCCTGGGATACTATCTCCATGTTGTCGGATCTTTCCATTGATCCTTGGGTCGGAATCGATGTTCGCATCACGGTGCAACATGATCCGCCTTACCACAGCAAAAACATTTACGCTTACTCTCCTTGTTGTAATCCTGTGCAAGGTTAGTACCGTTCTGTGGTGTGTTTGCTTTATCATTTGTGTTGTTGTTGTTGTTATGTTTTGGTGTGGTTGTTTTCTTTACCAAATGATTGTGTAGTGCCTTAGCCGCAGTTTCCACATCTCTCGGGAACAAATCTCGCTGAGCATAATCCACATGCTCCAGTTAGTTCAGCATGTGCACTGCTATCACAATTCAATTTCTGCTTTCATGCAATTGCTTGCACTGCTCCAGTGCCCATTGTCATCACAGCTCCAGTATGACTTTTGAAGTCTGGATGAACAGCAAATGATGCATCGACATACCATTTAATCATGCGCAAATCATCAGCGCTCAATGTCAGATGCCATCCTTTTGTGGAATGAATGTATCTCATCAATCGGACTAGTTTGTGCCAATCACTCAGATTCGGAGATTGCACCCTTGATGCTAAAATCGATACTGTCGGACTGATGTCCAGACGAGCACGTTTTGACAAAAATAACGATTTGGCAGCAAACAAATGGAACACTTCATGTCGTTCCTTCTCAAGCGGTGCCCCTTTACCTTTCTCCAATAGATTATTTCCAGCTGGTGTCTCCTGGATCTCATTGTCCTTAAACTTGACTGGAAACTCACTCAGCATGCGATCCACATAATCATCCATGCAAATTTTCATTTTTCCTTTCTTCGAAAAATCCAATGTCATACCCAAATAAGTATGAACTTTACCTCTAGTGCATGTGACCTCTTTTAAGCCACCATATTTCTCATTCACCCATGTGAAAAAATCTTCAAGTACTTGTTGTTCCATGTGACTTGCCAAAACGTCATCAACATGGAACCTGATTGTCAATTGTTTGCCATTAACCATTCTGTTGGCAATGCAGGGATCATATCGATTAAAAACAAAGCCATACTCCTCTAGAGAAGCTCTCAGATTTCGATACCACAGCAACGAGGCCTGCAACATCCCATATATGGCACGAAGGATCACAACATAGATCACTCTCTTGCCATTCTCATAAACAACATAATCGCGATGTTTCAGGTCCAAATCGATCATATATTGAACCATCAGTCCAGTTACCTTCATGATCACCCGATCTTCTCCATCACCTAAATCTGACATCAAGGTCTGAATGAATGCATTTGAAATGTCCATTGACATCATGCATCTACCTTTGTGCGCGTCAATCACTCCTGTGCACCAGATACCTTCATGCGATGCGGTCGGGCTAGCTGTGTCCTCTTGAGACAGCCAGTCTCGTGTCTCATTTCCTTTATATACAAAACAACCTTTGATATCACCACTGTTTTTCTCTGCCAGTAACATCATTGCATCGACTGCTTTCCTCTTCTCGGATTCTGTCAATTCACCAATACTGATGGGTGTCCAACAACTTCGTTTGATCAGTTGGTCAAGTTCCTTGAGCGCAGCTTCTTTTCCTCGTTCTTTGAAAATTTTCAATCCTTTGTTAAGATAATACTGCTGAATAAATGACACTCCATCCCTTGTGTACACTTTGTCACGAATCTGTTGCATGACGCGTGAAATCAGCAACGACTCATCCATATTGTAAGTTGCTTTCTTCTCAGTTCCACTTTGTTGGAACATTAAGTTATGTGCCCGTTCAGTAATCTTTCTTCTTGCTTCAGCGCTCAACACGTTGTCATCCCAAAACTCTCCTTTCTTTTGTGATTTTACCTTTGACGCAATAGCCTGGTATAATGAGATATGTAATCGTGTTCTCCTTTTCTTATCTTTATTTGAATCATCTGTTGTATTCAACACGGGGACTTCTTCAAACCTCACTCCTGCACAAACATCATCTTCTTCGTCAGGATATACTTGCGATTTGTCTTCTGCTTCTTGCAGTTCTTGTATTTCTTCCGCATCAAATTCACCCTCATAGTCATTGTCCTCATCTTCAACGCTGAACACTATTTCTTCTTCAATGGGTTGGCTCAATCTATCCAACTCATGGGCTGCTTCATCAATCATATCTTTTAATTCTTCATCATTGATATTCATTTCAATATCGCTTTCAGGTTGCTGATCCTGCACAAAATCCATATTGTCTTCATCGTCTTCTTCTTGACGTCTCTTAATTCTTTGCAGCATGCGGTCGACAGTTCTATCTGCCTCATCATATTCATGTTGTCTCTTATCATTAATTCTTCTAGATTCCAGTATATCTTTGGCTGCATCCTTGATTAGTTCTTTGAGTTCTTCATCTGTGATTGCATCATTATTGCGCAAATTCATGTCATTGACCGGTGGAATCACAATATCTGCAGGTACATAATCTTCGTCCCACAGTTCATCTGGGTCCACTCCTGCGAGCAGATCAGCATCCAAAATGATTTCTCCATTGTGTCTGGAATAGGTTCGTAAATCTGTAATGCCTTCCTCAGCAGCATGGGCTTCAACCAATTTGATCACTTGATCAGTGATTGGGAGCACCGTAATTTGAGGTCTAGTTACCTCTCTTTTTGTGTTCAAATCATATAGCTTGTGACCTGTTTGCATATTATCAGCGGGTCCCAAGTAAATGGCTTCAATAGTGCATGACCGATGATCACTGCGAGTATCATGTCCATAACCATGGACATACGACCCAAGTTCAGCAACAAATTCCTTCGAGTAATCAACTTGGCATTGCAACAAAATCATATGAGGACTGTAATAAGCCGAGATACCCCCTTTGGCGGGGTAAAAATTGGAAGTCTGTGCAACTTGTTTTGCAATAGCTTCAGTAATAATCCTCGGAATGGCCTTATACGGCATGCAATGATATTGGACACGGAACAACGCTTTGATATGTTGGTTGTTTCGTTCCGCCGTGGACCAACAATTCACATGGGATTTCAACCCAATCATTCTGGACTGCTTCCAGGGTAGGATGCTTAGTCTTTCCTTTAAGAACTGAAGCGCTTGGTCCATAAATCTTGTCAGCAATAACAATGTCTTCTTTTATAAACTTTCTCACTATCAATTGAGTGTCAGATGGACTTGCTCATTGAAACAGACAGGGCGTTGAGGCTCCCATTCAGGTCTGTAGAGCAAGTCCATCTGACAGTTGTTGGAGTGAAAGCCAAGACGAGGCAATGCGTCCCTCCAAAAGGCCTTGGGACCCAATCACCTGCTGAGCCAAGAAGGCCGGCCAAACCAAAGAGGATATGGCCCTTGGAGGAACTGAATGAGGTGTGCAAACGCCCTGAAGAAACTGTAGGATCGCTATTTTGATGGAAGGGCCCGTCAGTTGCAGGTCGAGCCACGTGGAGAAGGCTGCAGTGCGACGATCCCATTCAGCCGTGGCCGAAGCGGCGCGGCAGCGGGGAACATGCAGATGATCCTCGAAGTCGCCGCAGCGTGGGCAAGCTGATGATGTCTCCAGACCCCATAGAACTTTAAATTTGCCTGTGCCGCACATGCCCACACAATGTTTAGTAGATGTCAGATAATCAACTCCGTAGCTGTAATGAGAGCCTCAACGCTCTAGCTACCTCTGGAGTATACTGAGCTCGAATCTACGCCGGCTATGGATTGCCTACAATAGAAACAGGTGCCAGTGATGCTTAGCTTCAACCTGCGGATGAACAGTCTCACCACTTCCTATTAGATCTTATTCTACTGCTATTCTTGCCAGAAGTCGATCAACAATGATCTCCACAAGCAGGTACAAAAAATCTCTTCCGGAAGCCATCTGCATCAGCTCTCACCAGCTGTCGCGGCGTATAAAGCTCATACGCACATGTTCTTCACGAACTAGTCACAGAGTAGATCTACCTTCAATACTTATCCATCTCTGTACGTACTCGAACCGTACTCCTGTCCGTGTTCGATATCACCAATGTCCGACTTAACTGTCCGACATGTTCGACTGTTCTTTTACCTATCAAGATCCCATTTCACCAACACACTCCTGTCGTTTCGACGACTCCGGTTGCGATAACGAATCCTTTCGTCATTTAATATGTAACGTGTATATATAACCCAAGACGGTCATATCTAATCTTCCTGATCCCCTTGGATCAATGCCCAAAATTTGCAGAACTTTTCCCCTTGCAAAGGTTTTGTCATATAATCCCCCCACATGTCATCGGTTGGCATGTGTTCGATCTTAAGATTTCCTTTCTCAACCTGATCAGTGACAAAGAAATAACGGATGTTCAATACGCGGCTTCTCTTTCCTGCACTTGATCTCCCGTTCTGTTCAAGGAGAATAGAACTCATATTGTCTTGGTACAAGATATTCTTCTCAATCGGATAACCCTGTTCTTCCATGAATATGCGTGTCCACAACACTTGTGTGATCGCATCATCTACTCCGATTAGTTCCGCATGTGTACTGCTGCGGCTGTTTAGCTTCTGTTTCTTGGACATAGCCTGCATAGCTCCACCACCCATGGTCATTACTCCTCCTGTGTGACTCTTGAAGTCAGGGTGAACCGCAAAAGACGCATCAACATACCACTTCATTACACGAAGGTTGTCAGCGCTCAGCGTGAGATGCCATTTCTTGGTAGAGTGCATGTATCTCATAAGTCTCACAAGTTTATGCCAATCACTCTGATTTGGATTTTGAACTTGTGATGCCAAAATTGCTACCGTCGGATGCATATCCAGACGCCGTTTGGTCAAAAACAAATGTTTTGCAACGAACCGGTGAAACTCGGTCTGTTGATCTTTATCCAATAGTTTTCCTTTTCCCACCTCCAGCAAATTATTGCCAGCAGGTGTTTCCTGTTTGTCATCCTCTTTAAACTTGACAGAAAACTCGTCGAGCATTCTTTGGACATAATCGTCCATTCGAATCTTCAACTTTCCTTTCTTTGAATAATCCAATGTCATTCCCAGATAGGTGTGAACTTGTCCCCATGTGCAAGTCACTTCCTTTAGTCCTCCGTATCTCTCATTTATCCATGTAAAAAAATCCTTGAGAACTCTTTGTTCCATGTGGCTTGCTAGCACATCATCAACATGAAACCTGATAGTCAGTTGCTTTTTGTTGACCATCATATTTGCAATGCACAGATCGTATACATTAAACACAAGTCCATATTCTTTCAGCGATGCCCTCAGATTTTGGTACCATAGCAACGGAGCCTGTAACATCCCATAAATAGCACGGAGGATCACAACATAGATCACTCGATGTCCATTTTTGATTACTACAAAATCCCGATACGTCGGATCTAGGTCAATCATGTAGTCAACCAGCAGTCCAGTAATTTTCATTATTACTTGATCTTCTCCTTCTTCCTGCTTGGGCATCAATGTTTGGATAAACGCGTCAGGTATATCCATTGACATGACGTTTCTACCTTCATGGGCATCAATTACACCCGTGCAGATAATAGCTTCATGCAAAGCTGTGGGACTTGCAGTGTCCTCACAAGACAACCAATCCCGGGTCTCGTTACCTTTGAATACACAGCGTCCTTTGATTGTCACGCCATCATTATTTTTGGCCAGTAGCATCATTGCATCTACCGCCTTCTTTCTTTCGGTCGGTCTTAGTTTCTCAATGCTGATCGGTGTCCAGCAACTGTGCTTGATCAGTTGGTCAAGTTCTTTCATGGCCGCGTCTTTACCTTGCTCCTTGAATATCTTCAGTCCTTTATTCAGATAGGATTGCTGAATGAACAAGACTCCGTCTTGCCCATTGATACCACCGTTGACACCCTCACATATTCGCACGCCTGTTTCTCAAAACGTTTGGCACAGACGGATTCCTTTTTTGTAGGTATGCCTGTCCAAATCTTGATTTCTCACTTCTGTATCTCTCAGTGGGTCTCATTTTTACCCCTTGTGAGAAGTAGGATCGATTGTGTCTTGGGCAAAGTACCCTTTTCGCTCCAACCTTGACACCGTCGTCACTGTAGCTTCTCACAATTCCTTTATTGTCGGACTCATTATCATCTGTGTCCGCGAATCTCACTCCTGCACGAGCGACACCATCTTCCTCTTCTGATTCAACTGCCACATCTTCTTGCATGTTGTCATCAAATTCGAACAGAACTTCTTCTTTGTCTGGTTTTCCAAGTTTCACTAACTCAGCTGCCAGTTCGTCTAACATTTGCTTGGTTTCTTCATTGTCTAGTTCAGACTTGTATTCGTCTTTGTAGTCCATGTCCTCATTGGCAGTTATCCATTCGTGTTCTTTGTAGTCTTCGTCCATCAGATCTTCAGCATCTTGTCTAGCCTTAATCTTCTTGAACATTCTGATGAACGCTTTGTCTTTCCTTCCATGTATCTTTTCAGCAATGATTGCATCTTCTTCATTCACGTTGCAGTTCTTGAACAGACCAGATCTTACTGCAATACGAAACGCTTGAACTCCTGGTGCACCAGCCATATGATACACCGATCGTGCGCGATTAGCCCGCTCAACTTGTTTATCAGTGAAGCCTTTGATATTCTCCTGTACCATCTGTGTGCCACAATAATCGGAATCGGAATAGCTAATTTTTAAAATTCTACCACAGAAAATAACACCACATTTATGGCATTCAGTGTGTGCAACTCCAATCGCGTCGCAGTCACAGTTTCCGCATTCTCTGTACTCACATTCAGAGTATTTGGACCCTTCATCACTCTCTGCCCTACCATTGGGCATGAAAGTATACAATCCGTTCCGATGTACATACCTCATTTGTTGTTCCCCCTTTGTAACGATGAAGGAGTTTTCAATATCAGTGTCCATAACAACACGGAATCTAAACTTCACAAGCTTGGACAAACTATCAAGGTTACATTGCGCTTCAGTATCAAGCAAGCAAGTGTGTCCTTCGATAATACTTGATTCGACCTGCTGATGCAGATCACGTTGGCCAGTGTTTGTACTGTAGTTGAACATTTAATCCAGGTCAGACACAGTGCCCGGTTTGGCGTAATCTTTGTTCATTCGTAGGCTGAACGTAGATCCAGAATCAAGATGCACACCAAGATCGATATCCCAGTGCTTACTTCCATTAGACTTGAAAGGTTTCTTGTTGTCTTTGGTCCATTGAGAACAGTGCTTCAATGAATCCATCTTTGAGGTTGACTTGTAGATCTGCATGTTCAAGCTTCCATTGCTGACCATGCTGTCATCGTCCTTGAAAGTACTTGCAGCTTCTAGTTGTGCTTGCCATTTCTTCATTAGCAACTCTCCCCTGTCTTCAGTGGAGACTGCTTTCTTCTTCAGAATCGGTCTTACAGGTACTTGTGCAAGGTTCCATCCTGTAATCCTACCATCAGATCGTCCATCAGCGACAGGTCTGCCTTGTACCACATAAGAACCGGGTACATCAGTAGTACCAGAAGTGCTATTTCCACTCCTGTCAACAACAGCTTGTTGCATATTGCTTCGATGTTGTTGACCAGTTGATTGTGTTCCAGTGATGCGGGCACATTTAAAGCAAGTGCATTTTTCTACAACTGTGACAGGTCTCGCTTCCAAAGCATGTTGGACAAGGCAAACCAGACCTACGCCATGGAGTTCAAGGAATACGACCAACAAAACAAATATCCGACTATGATTGACCAGGTCGCCAAAGCGCTGATCAAACATAAGCCGGACAATAGAAAGAAAGGTCCGACAACACCGAGACCTACTCCAAGCACAACCACTATGAGCAGCAGTGCTCCTGACGGAGTGAGCAACGCACAGGCGAATGCTCGAACGTCATCTTCACGACCGGCTTATAGTTGCTTGTGTTGCAGAGATACTGGCCATGGGGTCACCCCTTGTCCTGAACGCTCCACGCGCCCACAAGCGGAAAGGAGCGACCCAGGACAATACAGCGACGCACCCACTACTACTACTACTACTTCAAGACGAGCGGGGAGAGCCAATCTCCAAGTCCCTGCGGCTGCATCTGCGGCGCAGTCGGATGCCGCGTCTAAGAACTTCTTTATGTTTGATCAGCGCTTTGGCAACCTGGTCAATCGTAGTCGGATATTCGTTTCTTTGGTCGTATTCCTTGAATTCCATGGCATAGGTCTGGTTTGCCTTGTCCAACATGCTTTGGAAGCGAGACCTGTCGCAGTTGTAGAAAAATGCACTTGCTTTAACGGTCCATCCGCCGCTCATCAGATCAATTTCGTACTTTTTTGTCGGAAGACTGATGATCCAAAACCTTATCCAGGCCTAAAATCAAAATTATTCCCATACAAATGTTTTAGTTTAGGTCCTTAGGTTTCATCCTATCTGGTGAGCACTTCTCTACTATGCTCTAGAAAGTC